TTACCTCTGTCTATCCTCTCACTATCCCCACTTGAATCTTCTTTTTCTTCCTCCTTCTCTTCTACTTTATCCTCTTCATCTTGTTCTTAACCTCACCATCTTACCACCCACTTTTCTTTTCTGTCTTTACTTTACACCATCATCATGTTCGTCTTCACTTTTCTTTATCTCCTTTTTATATAAACTGAGTTTGGGAGATCAAAAAAGAAATACAAATTTCGAGTTAAATACCGTATTTGCCGGCATAAAGGCCGCAGTATTTTTGGAAGAGAAAAAATCAAAAAGTCGGGGTGCGGCCTATGCGGCGAAAGAGTAAAAAAAAAAATTAAAAAGTAAGTCAAAACCAGCACGAATTTGCACATATGGGACTAGATCTACGAACGGTACAATAACTATACATTTCCACACATCTTACCAACAATTTTATCTTGCATTGTTGACATGAAGACAAAAATAAACTTCCAAAAACAACATCTGCCGATAGATCTTGATCTAAGTTTGTGCCAATGCATTGCAAAAGTAAAAAAGAAGGGCCCGTTTAACGGAGCTGCCGCGAGGCATCCAGCACGCAAAGTCACTATTTTGAATCCATTGCAATACACAAGAGAGACGCGCGATGTATACATCACAGAAAACTCAATATGCTAGCATCAGTGCGGGATGACCGAGCGGTCTAAGGCGGTGATTTTAGTCACATCAACATTTGTACGCAAGAGATCAAATCCCTATACGGCGCTGCGGCCTTATCGCCGGCAAATACGGTATTCTTTTTACCAATTAACTCATTCAGGATCAGTTCTTTAATTTTGATGTTAAATGATATGTTTTTATATATTGTATTTTACATTTGTAAAACATTCGGTCCAATTCGGCCGTTTAGGCCGCAATGCATTATTGTTCTTTTGTTTTTGTTCTCAATAAAACCATTATCAATTCAATTCAATACTAGGACACTGCTAACGTTAACATTTCACAATTAGGACATAAGTGACATATTCATAATTACTGGAAAGTTCTACAAAATTTGCAATACCGACTTTCAATTGCAAATTTCGACGAGATATCGACATCTAATCAAAAAATTAAAAGCACTGTTTTTATAGCCCATAGTCTCAGCTATAACAGAAGAAAATAGAGCACAAATAAGCAAGATAGTGCTCATAGATGAATGTCATGTAGATTCATGATGTGAACAAATTTCACCTTCCGTAGACATAGCCCGCAAATTAAGAAAATTCTGACATGTGGCCTTTAATTGAATTCTTTACTATGATGACATCTTTACTATGATGACATCATTAAAATGAAAATCAATGTACACTGATCTTGTGGACAATTGCCTCGACTACAACATATTAAAATCTAGAAGAGAATCAATGAATATTGAGAGAAATACACTCAATTTTCTATAAATGTTATGATGCATAATATGCAATTTTGTATTTTGACTTCCAAGGCCATCATGATGGAATCAAGATGTACTTAATGGCCAAATGAGATATGAAATCCTATCTCAGACTCATACTCTATCTAAATATAAAAAAAAAATTGGCAGTCCTTATTCATCCCAATGGACATTTTATAGGCATGTTTTTGCCAATATATGCTAAGTATTACACAAATCGCACGTTCGGACGGTTATCTTGAACGGACGCTCATTCCGTTATTAATAGTGATAAAGAGATAAACATGGTATCAAATTGTTTGGAAAAATATGAGAAATATTTTGTCAAAAATAATTGCAGAGGAAGTATTTTGCGTTTGGTCGTGACAAACAAAAATGCGCAAAAATGTGTGTTTTGCGCGATTTTGTATGAAATGCTTATAATGTCCTGAAACGTATGCAAACAAAATTTAAGACGATTTTGAGCAATTTAAATTTTTACGCGTGCGTTAACACCCACACGTACACATACGCGCATTTATTGACCTGAAATTGACCAGACAAATATTGACCTTGATCATGATAAATATGAATGAGAAATGGCTTTTTGTTATGAAGATATGATCATGAGTTGATTTTCACAAAATGGCGCCTGGATGACGTCACGAAAACTTTGAGTCTCTAAAAAGTCACGCAGTTCTAAGTTAGACTAAGATCTATCATCATGTAAGTTTCATGATAATGGCTTTATTCAGTCTTGAGATATCCTATGAACGAATTCGAGGAAGAATGATAATAAAAATCTTGAAGAAATCAATCGATACGTAGACTTCGTACGTATCACCTAATAATGAGGTATTTGCCATGGCAGGAACAAGACGAAAGCTTCTGAATAGTATAAGAGGTCGACAGCTGAGCTTCTTGGGTCATGTTATTCGAAAGAATGGTTTGGAAAATCTTGCACTGACTGAAAGAATAGAGGGGAGGAGTAGGGGTAGAAGGAGGATTCTGTGGATGAGTAGCTTAAGGAGTTGGATTTCTGAAAGTGGAATTGATCTTGGGGTAAATGAATTACTTCATAGAATATGGGACAGAGAGTTGTGGCATTCCATGGTCGCCAACATCTATAGGTACATTTATTAACGGAATGGGCCTGCTGCGACGTCCGTGCAGAATTACACATGTTTAAAGAGAAGGTTGAGTGCTGGGAAGAGGTAAAAAATTATTTGTGAGCGTTATCATTGTTATTATGCAAGGGTTGAAGAACATCAGATTAAACATGTTCCCTGAAAAGCATGGCTCTTCAAATGCCTTCATATTCTAAATATGACATGAAACATCGTAAAAATCCGGGTAGGATTTTTTCGCCATGTGTTTGTGTAGTCCCATATACATCATTCTGTGTACAGTGCTTGTAACTTTGCCAAGATTTGGCCAAATTTCTTATCATTTTGATGATTCCAGAACCTTGAAATACACACGAATACCTATACTAGATGATCTACCTTTTCTGATATGATTCCACAGTTTCTTTCACAATGCAATCGCATGACCAGAACTCAACTTTATCTTTAAGTTGAGCACGAGGCTAGAATTCACTCTACCGCCCTCTACGGTAAAAAGCAGTATAACGATGGATTAGATATCTGCAGCAGGCCCCTTTCGATAAAAATGTACCCAATTACGCTTCGAATATCACAATTTCTGTGGTATTTCTTGGACGACTATTAAATTCTTTGTCCAAGTTGTGTATCTGATTATGGTAATTTTGAGCAGTAGTTGTCTTTCCAATTGAGCTCTTGGCACGCATTACAGCTAACGAAGTGCACTGCGCATTGTTTCTTGAAAAATATTTCACAACATTCTTCTCTGTAAATATTACCCATTTTACTCATTTTCTGCACCGGCTTCCAACCGCGATCGAAACGTAACCGGACAAGAGCGATAGAAGTTGCTAGTATGCTATCCTCTAACGAGTCCATACAAAAGGAACAACAGATATCCAGTTGCGCTATCTCGGAACCAAATCCCTCCTCCAAGTGACAAATTGGTTAGATTACAATAATTTAGCATAAGTATAATACCGCGTGTCCACACACAAACATTTTTATCCAGAAACTCTTAAAAGAAACGTTGTATAAAGAATCATCATATAAATTCCAGGGTGTCCACACACAAGAAACGTTGTATAAAGAATCATTGTATAAATTCCAGGGTGTTCAAACACACCAGAAAGTAATCCCGAAACTCTACAGCGAAACGTCGTACATGTGCGTAGTTTGCTACTGCGGTCATAAAACGAAAGTGGAAATGAGAGGTCAGGTCTCCTTTCGCACGCGGTCACGTTCAGCCCCGCCCAGTTATACCATTCCATGATTACACATGAATCATTATTGAGTTCTTTTTTGAAACGATGCCCTAACCCTCGTTTCGTTATACGACATTTTGTTATACGACGTTTCGTTAGTAAGCGTCCACACACACAATTTCATTGTTTAACTATTTCAAAACTGTATAACTATTCCGAAACTGTATAACTATATCGTTTTGGGATACGGTAGTTATATTACAGTGTAGTTATAATAAGCAAATAATTACCGTTGGTGAAGGTGATGGGACAAACTATCACTTCCGAGGCGATCTGGAGGTAGCTATCTTTCCGAAGCGAAGCTGAAGAAAGATAGCGTATACATTCTGATCGACGAGGAAGTGATAGTGTGCCATCGCTTGAAACCAAAAGGTGATTCTTTGCTTTATATTCCACATCTAAAACAATTTAACTACAAAATGAAAAGGACGTGTATGCATCTACATAAAAAACACCTAGGCCCAAATTCACACCAAAAAAGTTTAAGTTTAACCCAACCCCATGAGGGTATGTATGCGCATGTGTTTTCTTTAATTCCGCTCATTGGTAATGCGCGCTTAATTACGCCCATTTTAGTGCGCTTTTGCCTTTTGGATAAATCAGTGAAATTGCGTTGCCCTGTGTAGATAGTAACGGTACCTCTATCTTCAGTGAAAGTGCGTTGCACTGTGTAGATAGTAGTACTACATGTATCTACACAGTGTAACAAACTTTTTGCTTCTCCCATCAATAATGAGCAAACTATCTTTCATCACATGATTTACTTTTGACCAATCCTAGAGCAAGATTCTTAGTATGTGGTATATAATTAAACATAAACTTGAGTTATGGTAAAAAAAAATGAATTCTCACAGAATCAAACGAAACTTACACTGAATGTTCAAGATTATCAATAAATGTCATTTGCCAAACAATTTAAGTAGAAAATGTATATACTGGCTGAGTAATGAGCATAGAGACATTAGGAAATCAAGGCAAGTTATTTGTGTAGTACCAATATACATCTTTCTGTGTACAGTGCTTGTTACTTTACCAAGACTGGGCCAAATTTCTTATGATTTTGATGACTCGAGAACCTTACAGTACACACCAATACTTACATGCTACATGATTAACTTTTTCTGATCCATTCCACACCTTTTCTTTCACAATGCAATCGCATGACCAGAACTCAACTTTATCTTTAAGAGGCATTATTTTTGGCTACCTTTATACAGGGCATGGACATGTTCTTTAAGTTGCTGGGGGGGGGGGGGGGATTCACTAATGCAGAACCTTCCATCGTTGAATACTCTCCCTTCACTAGCAGATCACTTACTGTAAGTGAAGTTTGTATCTCTTTTATATTAACCTTTGTTTCTCTCTCCTTTCATCTCCTCTTCTATCATGTTTAATATGTCACACTGCAGGATACAGTGGTCTAGCAAGTGAACTGGTCCAGAGGTACACTTCAAGGCACAGTTTCGTATTCACAATCACATTTGACCACTCTAGCCAAAACTGCTCCAACCGTGCAAGAGTGATTGAGGTTTTAATTGTTCTTCCTTTTTCATGTTCTATCCTACTCACATTGTATTTTTGTGTAAGGTGCTTTCATTTGTTTAAAGTTTCATGTGACATCATCTTTCACACTAATGTGCCTCATGCATTTTATTTACAGTGGAATTGGGAACTTAAAATCTTATATATTATAAATAATGATAATAATAATAATAACAATGATTAATACTATGATTATCATAACTATTATCATTGTTATCATTATCATCATTATCATTATTCATTAGACAAAGTATGATCATGAATTAAAGGTACCTGGAAATGAAAACATATTGTCTCTTAAAGTAATAACATATCTTTCTTTTTTTCTTAATTAATTTCTTATTTGATTGACTTGGGCCCCTCTTTCCCCTGAGCATTCAATAATACTGTATTACAAAATCTTTGATTTTTTTAAAAACATTATTGTATTTAGACAAAATTCTAGATACTTGTCCGCATATCAAATAGATTTTAAATGCAAAGGACCATCACAAAGATTGATTCACCATTTATTAGGGAGCAGAAACAACTTCTTCATGGTGGTCTACTGATGCAACATCAGATGTTAAAACCTGATGAGTACTCTCTTCCTCTTCTTCCAGCTGAGCCTGAATCTGGATCTCATGGATGCTCTGGTCAATCTCCAGCTGCTCTGGGTCTTGCAACAAGTGAAATACATGGCCATCTCCAGGATGATCTGTTATGATGACTTCTTGGCAAGTTCCATCATCCTGGATCACCACTTCAGCCACCTGATCCATATGATCGACTTCACTAACCTCCTGGACAACAGCAGCCTCGTTTGACTTTTCCACCTGAGTTGATGCACTGTTAATGGCTTGTTCAATGTCTTCCAGGATATCTGTAAAGGTCTTCTGCTCAGTTTCATGGACAGCCTCATGCTTCTTCAAGGCCTTGTAGTACTTGAAAGTTGCTCCACAGAGTTTGCAGATCTGTGGTTCAACGCCAGTATGGATGATAAGTTTATGCTTGCGTAAACTTTTCATTCGCAAAAACTTAACGTCACAAAGGTCGCATTGAAACTTCTTTACACGATTATGGCAGACCATGTGATCTTTGAGGCCTCCTGACTGAGAGAATCCTTTCTCACATTTCTCACATTTAAAGGGCTTCTCCCCTGTATGTACCCGCATATGAATCTCCAACTGCTTCTCCCTGTCAAAATGCTTAAAACACACTCCACACAAGAAACGTTTACCGCTGGTTGCCTCACAGTGATGCTTCAATAGTCTTTTCAGATGCTGATAAACCTTACCACAATTTGCACACAAATACCTGTTCCCTGTGACACCATGATTGTGAGCAACTTGCTTATGGGTTTGAAGAGCTTTTAACCGTGGGAACTGCCGATGACACTGGTCACATGGGAAGGCTTTTTCAGTTTTGTGGGTGCTCTCATGATATCGGAGTGTACTATTGTGGGCAAAGCGCTTCCTGCAATGTGAGCATTCATATTTCTTTTCACCTGTGTGAACACGCTGGTGCAACCTAAAATTTGCAATTTTGGCAAATGTTTTGTCACACTCATTGCAGATAAAAGGTCTCTCTCCTGTATGTATACGCATGTGCTCAATTAGGCGGTCTCGTCGCCTATACATCCTCCCGCAATCACTACATGAATACACCTTGACTGGTGTATTGTGACATCGATGGGTCTTCAGATATCTTGAATACATATATGACTTACCGCAAGTATCGCATATAAATGGACGACGGCCAGTACAACAGTTCCTCCCTGCATGATTCAGCAGGCACCGCAGCGTTTTGAACCTTTTGTTACAGTTCTCACAAGAATATGGCTTATCTTGTGAATGAGTTTTTAAGTGCTCATTCAAACAGTTCAACAACCTAAAATTCTTACTGCACACATTACAAGTAAAAGCCTTTTTTGTACCATGTGTACGTTTGTGAGGCATGAAATTGTTCATGCCTACGAGGGCCTTTCCACACAGTTCCTGTTCACACTGTCCATCTGTATTACCAATAGGTCCATTCCCAAGAGATTCACTTCTGTCTTCTGAAGATTTGATATCATTGGCACACTCATATACATTCTCTAAAACTTGATGTGCAGTAGTACCATCAGTTACATCTACATGTATATTAACCTCATCTGTGGCTTCCATCTTGCCCTCATCATGTTCCTGATCAATAATAATAATCTTTTGAGGCCTTCCTCTTTTCCTACATAACACTTTTCCTCCTGAACACATCTTGAAAGCTTGATGCCTTTGAAGACTCTTAGCCCGAGTAAACTGACTTCCACAATCCGCACATGAAAAGGTTTCTGATTTCTCATGGGTTTTCTGATGACCATTCAAATGACACAGCTGCTTGAAAGATTTCCCACAAGTTGTACAGCTAAAAGGACGCTCATTTGTATGAACACGTAAATGCACTCTTAGTTCAGCAACCCTTTTGAAATATTTCTTACAGAATTCACATTCGTACATTTCCATAACCACCTTCTCTTTGTCACAAAGTTCAAATTCTTTCCTCTCAGGTTTCTCAACCTCAACAAGAATTTTGTGAAAGTCCCGGTTGACCAAATTTCTCTTCATTTCTTTATTCCCTGTGTGAAAATACATGTGTCTCTTAAGACTTCTTGCCTGGGTAAACTTGTAGCCACAAATTGAGCACTCATGCTTTTGACCAGAATGTGTGTCCACATGGAATTGTAATGTGCTTCGTTGAGAGAACTTCTTGTCACAGAGAGTGCAATGGTACGGTCGCTCCCCTGTATGTGTGCGGCGATGCACCAAAAATGTATACTTGTCTACAAAGCTGTTTTCACAAATTTTACAAACAATTCTTCCTTTTCTAGGATGTGCACCCTCAAGCATTTGTTCTCCAGTGTCCCGATTTTCTTCTCCCATGTCAGCTTCTGCTGCTAAGCGTTTCCAACAAGTAGCTGCTTGCACATGCCGCTGCAAACTGCTCTGCCTGGTAAATGTACGGCAACAAGTCTCACATCGGAGCACTTTTTTGGTGGTTTTACTGTCCATCTTACTAGATAAATCCTCATCCCGTGTTGTACCAATCTCCTCTTTTGATTTTGGTTTTCTGTTTTGCTTAGGTTGTAGTTTGACAGCTCCATTTCCTGATAGAATTCGCTTCACGCTAACATCATCACAGCGCACAACATCAGTTTTGCATTTTACCTTAAGCACCCTTTTTGATAGTACTTCACTATTGTGGCTGTTTTCAGGATTTTTACTTGAGGAAATATCATTAATGGATTCATGGGCTGATGCATATTCTTTACCTTGTGATTTTCCACTCTGTGAAATGGTACTCGTCCTTTGCAGTACGTTTGTTGTTACTTCTATAGAGTCATCACGGTATCGGGCTGGGAGTTTACGATCAGATCTCTGAGAACTTCTGGATGAAGTGTCCTTATTCATTATTGCTGCACACCAGCTACTGTAAGACGACTAGAAATAAAACAAGACAAATGACAAGTCAACCAGCTTTAATGCTGTGAGTTCAATTTCAATTTCCTATCCCATTAGATCAACTTTTGTTTAGTTTTAATACCTGTAACAGTTGGGGCCTTAAATCTAACATTAATCATGAACTTAAGTCTAAAAATAACTAAAAAGTGTTTCATTCAATTCAGTTCAGCAATATTAGGTACCTGTGTGTATTATAACTTTTCTTGATGTGCAATTTGGTGTCAAATGATCATGTAATTAATAAGTTATTGAATTGTGAAATTGTATAGTTTTTTTCCAAAGTGTTTTAACCTTATTCTAAGGATTATGTAAACACACCGATTGATCATCCTGTGTTTCAAAAGATACTAAAGGACTAGGCGAGGTATTTGTAAAATTTACACATAAATGCATAGCTGGCAATGTCTGGAATTTTCAATTAGTAACATTTAACCCTTAGAAGGCCAGGGGGAGCCATTATGCCCCTCCCCCCACCCCCTCCCTCTGCGTACGGATGGCGCCCCGCCGCTTACTAACCTTTTCCTTTCGAATCTTGAGCATCTTTTAAAACAATTTTTTTGAAAATCAGACGTACAGTTACAAAGTCACATGACCTTTTGTCTTTGCATGTCGCAATTTCCCTAATTTTCGTGATTTGTGTACAACACATATATATATGAAAATGTCATTTTTCCTAAAAAGAGGTAAAAACAAGATACAAGTTACAATATATTTTATTTGGTCTTTGCAAACAAGTTACATAGAAATTAGGTTTTCACTGGCGTTACAAGAAAATACATAATTACAAGAAATAAATACATCACGTTTATAGAAATAGAAAAAAAGAACAAATTACACGCAAATGATAATGAAGTGACAAAAATGGTCATTGGGTCTTGTTTAAAGTTTAGGTGTTTATTTTGGAAGTCAAAATAGTTGAATTATAGTTAGAAATGAAATAAACAAAAACAACTAGAAATTTAATTCGTCATGAGGACGAATTAGGTGGTCTGTCTTCACTTCTTATGATAGATTTGAATATTTACTATATAGAGAAAGGGAGAAGTTATATAGACATGTAAAAAATGATGATCATGATGAACATCATGATGAACATGATGATGATCATGATAGTAATGGTGATGATGATGATGATAGCGATAATGTTAGATGATGAAAATCACGATGATATTGATGATGGTGACGATGATCATGATCATGATCGTGATCCTGACATCTGATTGAAAAAATGAGGGGACATTTAGATAGCATATAGTCTCAGCTACAACAAACTAAAAAATCAATAAAAACCAAGCAGAAATAACAGCGATATTGCTCGCAAAAGACAGGAATGAAGAATCTAGATTTGAGAAAAAGTCATCTGCCATAGGGATTACACTAAAAAAGTACCGTAAATCTCTGTGTATAAGGCGCACTTTTTTTTCCGTTGGCAAAAATCAAAAGTCGGGTGCGCGCCTTATACACAGGTACAGGATATTTTGAGTACTCAAAATGCTCCGAAAAAAATAATGAAATATGTAAGAAATTGCAGTTTTGCACACCACTAAAATTAATCCACCTTAAAACTTAAGTATTAAATTTTTACCAATCATATTCTAGCTCATCCTGAATCAATCCGAACTGCCATTATAAATATGGGTTGCAAAGCACTAGCTACTGTACTGGCCGGGTCTCTCGGCAGGAAAAATAAATCAGGTTGAAAGAAACATTACCGCAATGTTCGAATAATAAAACAGCTTTCTAAAAAATACTTCTTTACAGCATACCGATCGAATAATTTTTAAAAGACAAAATAAATATTTTCCTCTTATTTTGAACACCACATGCTTCTTTTAAAAGCAGAAAATTACTTGGTAATCACAACAAGTTTCGATACTGATAGCTGTCGCAAGGCAAGTTCAGACTAGTCACAGAAAAAATGCGCAGTGCACCTCGTTAGCTGTAATGCGTGCCCAAACGAACCCAAACAAATATACGTGATCGTAACAAGAAACTAGATGGAATTTTGACTGCGCGCAGTCGAAAATGATGCCTCCGCCATAGAGCAATTTAAACAAGTTTGGAGTTTAAATCTCCAGTGGTTCTTGAGATATCATGATAACAATCTCAATGTATGGAATTTCATAAGTTGACCTCTGTGACCCTTGACCTTTGACCTACGTGCTCCAAAATCTAATCAGATTGTCTTCCTATGGTGATACACACTATCATTAAGTTTGAAGTTTAAATCTCCAGTGGTTCTTGGAGATATTATGATATGGTGATACATACTATCATTAAGTTTGAAGTGAAAATTCTCCAGTGGTTCTTGAGATATCGCGATAACGATCTCAATGTATGGAATTTCATAAGTTGACCTCTGTGACCCTTGACCTTTGACCTACGTGCTCCAAAATCTAATCAGATTGTCTTCCTATGGTGATACACACTATCATTAAGTTTGAAGTTTAAATCTCCAGTGGTTCTTGAGATATTATGATAACAATCTCAATGTATGGAATTTCATAAGTTGACCTCTGTGACCCTTGACCTTTGACCTACGTGCTCCAAAATCTAATCAGATCGTCTTCCTATGGTGATACATACTATCCTTAAGTTTGAAGTTTTTACATCTCCAGTGGTTCTTGAGATATCATGATAAAAATCTCAATGTATGGAATTTCATAAGTTGACCTCTATGACCCTTGACCTTTGACCTACGTGCTCCAAAATCTAATCAGATTGTTTTCCTATAGTGATACACACTATCACTAAGTTTGAAGTTTAAATCTCCAGTGGTTCTTGAGATATCATGATAACAATCTCAATGTATGGAATTTCATAAGTTGACCTCTGTGACCCTTGACCTTTGACATACGTGCTCCAAAATCTAATCAGATCCTATGGTGATACATACTATCCTTAAGTTTGAAGTTTAAATCTCAAATGGTTCTTGAGATATCGCGCTAACAAACTCAATACAAGGAATTTCATAAGTTGACCTCTGTGACCTGTGACCTTTGACCTACGTACTCCAAAATCTAATCAGATCGTCTTCCTATGGTGATAAATACTATTCCCGAGTCTTAAGTTTAAATCTTAAATGGTTCTTGAGATATTGTGATAACGGTCAAACGGGACGGACGTACGGATGTACGGACGGACAACCCGAAAACATGATGCCTCCGGCACCACCTTCGGTGGCGGAGGCATAAAAAATCATTAAATACTACGAGAGCACAATTGGAAAGACAATTACTCAAAATTACTGTAAGCAGATACATAACTTGGAGGAAGAATACAATAGTTGTCCAAGAAAAGCCACAAATATAGTGATATTTAAGGAGTTACTAAAGGTAAATTTATCATCGGAATGGGCCTGCTGCGATGTCCGTGCAAAAATACACGTGTTTAAATTGAGTCACTGTAGGGGCAAAAAAGTCTTGCCGATAATTATTGTTTTTAGATCTACGTAGGGGCAACAAAACCTTGCCGATAATTATTGTTTTAGAGCTCCATAGGGGCAACAAAACCTTGGCGATAATTATTGGTTTTAGAGCTCCGTAGAGGCAACAAAACCTTGCTGATGATTATTGTTTTTGGAGCTCCGTAAGGGGCAACACAACCTTTCAGAATTAATGTTGGTTTTAAAACTGAAGATGACAGATTTGTTTGTTTTTTCCTGATTTTTTTTTTTGGTCTTAAAAAAAGGGGTGTGCCTTATACACTGAGATTTACGGTATTGAATTCTTTGTCCAAGTTTTGAGCAGTAGTTGTCTTTCCAATTGTGCTTTCGTAGTTTTGAATGATTTCTCGTTACGATCACGTATATTTGTTTGAGTTCGTTTGGGCACGCATTACAGCACATTTTTTCTGTGACTAGTCTGAACTTGCCTTGCAACAGCTATCTGTATCGAAACTTGTTGTGATTACCAAGTAATTTTCTGCTTTAAAAAAAAGCATGCAGTGTTTAAAATAAGAGATAAATATTTATTTTTTCTTTAGAAAATTTTAAAACTAAAGATGACAGTATTTTTTATTTTTCCCTGAAATTTTTTTTTCCCAATTTTTTTTTGTCTTCACAGTAGGGGTGCGCCTTATACACAGGTGCACCTTATACACGGAGAGTTAAGGTAATGGATCAAGTGATAATAGGGTGATAATAGGGTAATAATAAGGTCATAATAAGGTAAATATGGTTTATTACATTATTTGCCATTCAACGTGTTTTAATATTCAAAGGAGATGGTACAGTGAAAGGTAAAAGACAAAAAAAAGTGAAGAAAAAAAATGTTGGAGACGCCCGGACTCGAACCAGGGATCCCGAGGTTGGAAGTCAAGTGCGTTACCGATATATCAAAACAATTCCCATAGCGATTACACGTGAACGGAAAATGGAATTCTCAAATCCCACTTTGCAAGTGAAACATGAGCATGATCCCGGCATATCATTGAAAAAGAAAGGGCATACTTGTGAAAGCTTCTTGTCTCAGCTTCAACATACTCGAAGCTCAGCGAAAACAAAGCTAAAACGACGGAGATATTGCTCCCGAAAGACGGGAATGTAGAATCAAGTAATGAGAAAAAGTCATGTCCCATAGAGAATACACAAAAAATGTGAAAAATTGACATGCCTCCTTTAATCGCAAAACCAAGCCATGATGCCTTTGTCAAAATGAAAAATTGTGGAAGCTACATTTCTAGAGAATTTTCTCAGCTAGAACATATCAAAATTTGGAAGAAAATTGATCAATATTTACAGAGATACAATCAATTTTCCAAAAATATGCTGACATCATAATATGCAAATTGAAATTTTGAGTTCGGAGGTCATTATGATGACGTCATGAGTTAATTGAGGGTCAAATGAAACATGAAATCGTATCTACGACTCATAATCTATCCAAATATGAAAAAAAAATTGGGGTCCCGTTACATCCTAAAGAGCTAAAATGGATTTTGTATAGGTAGGCATGTTTTTGCCCATATATGATAGATGTATTATAAGAGCTCGCACGCACGGACATGTATCTTAAACAGTATTACTGGTCAGAAAAAGTTGAACAAGGTATCAAAATGCTTGGATAAATGTGCCAAATATGATGACAGAGAAAATTCGGCAATTCTATGTTGCAAATTGCCAGGACGCGCGAAAACACATGAGTTTTTTTTTTTTGCGAAATGCTTAAAATGGCCTGACACGTATGCAAAATGAATTTGAGACGATTTTGAGCATTTTGAAATTTTTTGACCTGAAATTGACCGGACAGATATTGACCTTCATCATGTTAAATATAAATGAGAAATGACTTTCTGTTATGAAAATATGATCATGAGTTGAAAGTACCAACAACAACAAAAATGGCGCCTGGATGACGTCATGAAGACTTGATGACCTTGAAAAATGTTCCTGTCACATTTTATGACAATGATCTATGACTGTGCCAAAATTGAACGAAATTGACTAAACCGATCTCGAGTTATCCTCGGAACAAAAAAGTGGGGAGAAATAAATAAAAACTAGACATGTAATACTTGTTTGGAACAAGTATAGGTGGGCTGGTCAACTAAAATTTGAGACAAAATAGAGAGAAAATAAGCGAGATACACCTTAAAAATTCTTATAAAACAATATGTAGATTCATGACGTGAACAAAATTTATGGGCATAACACGCATATTATGAGATTTCTGACATGAGGCCTTCAATTGAAATTTTCACTATGATGACGTCATCAAAATGAAAAATAGTGAAAACTAAGATTGTAGAAAATTGTCTGAGCTACAACATTTTGAAGAAAAATTTTGAAGAAAATTGATCAATATTATTTTACAGAGATACAATTAATTTTCCATAAATATGCTGATGTCATAATATGCAAATTCGTATTTTGAGTTCCAAGGCCATTAAGATGATGTCATGATGCACTTACTGGCCAAATGAGACATGAAATCAAATCTCCGACTCATACTTTTTTCAAATATGAAAAAAAATTGGGGTCCAGGTGCATCCCAAAGAGCTATAGTGGATTTTGTATAGGCATGTTTTTGCCCATGTATGTTATGTATTACTAGAGCTCGCGTGCACGGACATTTATGTTAAGCGGACGCTCATTCCGTTATTAATAGTCATAAAGAGATAAACAAGGTATCAATTTGTTTGTAAAAAAATGTGAAATATCATGAAAGAAAAAAAAATGGAGATTCTATTTTTGACATGAAATTGACTGGACTGATATTGACCTTGATCATGATAAATATGAATGAGAAATGACTTACCGTTATGAAAATATGATCATGAGTAAATTTTCAAAAAATTTCACAAAATGGCGCCTAGATGACGTCATCAGTCAAGGTCAAGGTTGAAAACCTTACCGTGTTTTCTCCAAATGCCTATTCATAAGTGTGCCAAATTTCAAGGTATTTGACTGAACCATTTTCAAGTTATCTTGCTAACAAACTAGATGACCTTTGACTGCGCACAGTCAAAAATGATGCCTCCGCCATTGGGCGATTATACCAACCATAACAGAAGCAATTTTGAAAATTCAATTTCTCAGAATATCGTGATCACAAGCTTTTTTTCATATACATGTACATGTATGACCCTTTGATCTTTGACCTCATGACCCTAAAATCTAATCAGTTTCATTGGCTCTGCAAGATACATACATGTACATGTCCTGAGTTTGATAGTCATCCATGTGTCAGTTCTAATGAGAATGCGTTCACAAGCTATTTTTGCATACATAATGAGCCCCATGACCTTTGACATTTGACCTCATGACCCAGAATCTACTCAGTTCATTGGCTCTGCAAGATACATACATGATCTTAGTTTGGCAGGAATCCATCCATCTGTTCTAATGATAATGGGATCATAAGCTATTTTTGCATACATAATGAGCCCTTTGACCTTTGACCTCATGAACCCAAAATCTAATCAGTTCATTGGCTCTGCAAGTAACAAACATAAATTAAGTTTGGCAGGAATCCATCAATTGGTTCTTCAGATATCGCAATCACGAGAATGGGACGTACAGACGTACGTGTACATATGGACGGACAACCCAAAAACATAATGCCTCCGGCTACTTCGTAACGGAGGCATAAAAATCAGTGACAAACCTGCTGATAACCAATCAGAAGTGAGGATTTCAGTAGCTTACAACAAAAACTGTCATTTGTCACTGATGACAAGTTTTGTGAAACAGGGACCAGGAGTTACTCACCTGGAATAACAAGCTTTGTTGATCGTTGTCTGAGTCTTTCTGCTTCGTTACTGAAAAAAGTGAGAAAGAAGCGAGAATATTATCAAGCAAGCAGGGTGATGAAGGCACTCAATTACAATGATGCAGAACAAGCTGTAACATAAATTGTCTGTTTGGAGCCAGAAGAGTGTCAGCTTGCATACTTAAAGGAAGTGTAGACTGATGAGACTACGTGTCTTTCCAGTGGCCTGACTCGGGGCCAATTGGGGTTAATACAACTACCGATGACATGACCACAGCAATCACATGCATGCACTTTGTGCGAAACTGAAGCGTGAAGAGAACTCCTGTCTGTTCCCCGAACGCTGACCATATAGAGATTTTAGTCGATGACTACTGTTAATAAAGTCCTTTCATTTACGTGCAGTTGTCCAAAAGAAGACGTAAATGGCATTAACCAGTATTTGCCAAACTACACTCCCTTTAAATAAAGAGTTATTACACCCTTCTAACTCTGAACGGACAATATACACAGAAAAGTGATCACCTCGAGTCTTCAAGATCAGATGGCCAAAAAATGATTAATATATAACAGACTAGCAGGACCCGCGGAAATCCGCGGGATTCGATCTAGAGGGGGGCGGGGGGTGTAAATAGATATATAGAGACTGCCTAAATTAAAACCACCAAGAACTTTATTTGCCATTCAGGCCATTAAAAAATATACATGTTTAGCGTCCCCGCCCGCTTCCTTTTTGGGGGCCGCCTCCTATTTTTTTTTTTTTGAAATTTTTTTTTTTTTTTTTTGAAAGAAAAAAAAAAGCGTCCCCGCCTGCTTCCTTTTAGGGGGCCGCCTCCTATTTTTATTTATTTATTTATTTTTTTTTTTTTTTTTTTTTTTTTTTTTTTTTTTGAAATAAAAAAAACATGAAAAGCACTGCTAAAATGTATTTCTGATTTTAAAAAAGAAAAAAAAAATTGTCGGCCGCCATCTTGAAAAATAGCCAGAATGTCAGGGAAAATGTACGGAGCGGCCATTTGAAAGAAGAAAAAAAAAAAAAGGGCCTCCTCCTTCCCATTTTTCAAAAAAACAGGACGCTAAACATGTTTTTTTTTTAATTTGGCCTTATATATAAAAAAAATTTAAAAAACGATCCAACTGTACCTGTAGTTATTCTTTAAGCCACTGGAACTGCGTAGAGTTCCGTAGTGTGGCGTACCGACTACGCAGAAATTAGGCTGCGTATTAATGGGAAAATAGTCCCTGCGTAGGTTATGCGTAGGCTGGCGTACAGGTTTGCTTATGGTTGTTTACTGTGTAGAAAGCTTTTACTGCTTTGACGATCTGGCGTAGGGTAGCGTACTGTTGCGTAGTCATGTAGCGTAGTGTTGCGTAAAAAGGCGTACTTTCTGCGTCAAGTTTCTACGCCGAAAGTACGCGAAAAAAATTAAACATGTTGAATTGTTTTCGTTCATCTTGCGTACCCCTTTCCTTCCCCCAGCATATAGTAACGTAGGCCACTCTACGTATTGACCCCACGCCAAATAAAGTATTAAAAATATGCTCATCTGACCCTAAACGCCTAAACCCCCCGAGCTTTCGGGGGTTTATGGCCCCTTGAAACCCGTGGACCCCACGCCTACACTCAACTCGCTTCGATCTACCTGATCCCCCTCGCCCCCCCCCCCCCACAACCCGTGGACCCCACGCCTACACTCAACTCGCTTCGATCTACCTGACCCCCCCCCCCCCCCCCACACTTTGAAAAATGTTTTGTGGGGTCTGCATGTAACATGTAAGATGCAGATTTTTTTTGTAACATGTAAGATGCAAAAAAAAATATTTTGCCCCCCCCCCCCAACAATCTTATGGCACTTCGGCCTGCCCGCTGTTGTGTTCACGTGTAGGCCTACTTCAATGAATGGATAGACATAAATAGTCGCATGGATGGATACATAATATAGCGTATAGTTGTCGAATATTGGCATGTTCGGCCCTTCATAGTCTCTTCGACTCTGAATAGCTAGCTCACTCACTCACTCAGCTCAGTCGAGCAGCCAGCGCAGCTGCACTGCACTACACACTGTATGCGTACGGCAGAGCTCTTGAAACTGAACGATGTTTTTCTCTGATTTTCTTGTGAAAACTTTCCTTTAATAAATGATAATCAAAACTGAGTAAACATGGCCAGAATAATCACAAAATAAGCTTTGATTTCACACCTCCACTCACGAAAACTATATAAAAAATCCCGGCAATAATGATGGAAATAGGTCTCTAAGTTTGGACGTGGATATGGGAAGACATCTGTTGCGCTGATTTTAGGCCTAGATATCATGAAATAAGCTAATAAATATCAAATAAAGACTCAACTCATTCAAATTTTAAATATCAGGTCTACATTTTAATTAAAATTTAAAAAATGGTAAAGATTACAACATCTAAAATATACAAAACAAACACGGGGAAGAAAAAAAAACTTGCGACGGAGGCGGGATCGAACCCGTGCGTGCAAAAAGTGCAAGAGCTGCCGGCGAATCGAACGCAACCGGCGCCTCAGACCGCTCGTCCACTTCCGCTTCATGCTAAAGCATGAAGCTCGTGACGAATAAGTAGGACGTGCGGACGCATCGATGATGTCGACGACGACCGGGACGTCGCACCGGGCCGGGACGTGGCCCAGTAGGTATCGCGGGACCGCCCGGCGGCGCCCGGGGGCGGGCGGGAGGGGAGATTTGGGCGCCGTAAAATGGACCCCGGATACCCCCCTCGACGCCTTAGCGTATTATTATATGGATATATCAATATATATCCTGGTTTTTCTCCAAACAAATATAAACAGTGTTTATGGTTTGAATTTGTGGAAATCGCTTGTTTACAATTTTTTTTTTTTTATCTGCTCTGTTTTTCAGTCATATGCCCTAGTATAAAATAATAAACATGGTTTGGACTGAGCGGAGCTCATGCCTCCCTAATTAGCCGATTCCAAAAATGTGGGAAGGGTATTTTCAAACTGTTAGGCCAAATGATCCCTTGGGGCTAGCGAAAAAAAAGCACCTGGATATTATCCTTACGTCTAGCCCTACTTAAGCACACCCTATAGTAAGATGGCTTACTCGGGGGTTATCCCGCCCTTTGCATAGAGCATTTAATACGCAACATAATGTGAGTTGATGGTCATCTGTTGTGTGTCTGTTTGATACAGCTACTACAAAGCACATCCTAGCTACTACAAATCACATCATATAGCAAGACGCTTTACTCTGGGTAATCCCGACCCTGTGCATAGTGCATTTAATACGCAACTTAATGTGAGTGGATAGTCGTCGGTCGTGTGTCTACGGATGTAATGTTGAATATCCATGAGGTATCTCTGTCGTCACGCATATCCTGCATTATGCATGTCGCGTCTGTTTTCGCCCTGGACGTCGACACGGAGCAGGACCTCGGGCGGAGTATAGCCAATTCCACAGAGTAGACTCTCCCGCGGACGATGGCACCGGGCACGGGTACCCCGAGGGGAGGGTTCAGGAGGAGATAGCTGCACCAACTTGGGTCGGCGATCTCATTAAAAAACAATAGAATACAAAGGCTCGCCGGGACGTCGCGCCCCCCGCGGAGCCTTAGCGTATTACTTATATGGATATATCAATATATATCCTGGTTTTTCTCCAAACAAATATAAACAGTGTTTATGGTTTGAATTTGTGGAAATCGCTTGTTTACAATTTTTTTTTTTTTATCTGCTCTGTTTTTCAGTCATATGCCCTAGTATAAAATAATAAACATGGTTTGGACTGAGCGGAGCTCATGCCTCCCTAATTAGCCGATTCCAAAAATGTGGGAAGGGTATTTTCAAACTGTTAGGCCAAATGATCCCTTGGGGCTAGCGAAAAAAAAGCACCTGGATATTATCCTTACGTCTAGCCCTACTTAAGCCGTGGGGGCGCAGCTCAGGAAAGTGGCAAATTTTGGAGCTAGGATGCAAACAACATTTCAATCGCTGTTTTGACCAAGATATTTTTAGAATTCTGGGGGTGGCCCCCTATGGGGAATATGGAGAAAAACCTGCTCTTTCATGACACCTCATTTATTGAGTTTCACCTTCAGGATCATTTGTTATAAAGGTTTGAATTTTAAAAATTTTCATAAAATCATTGACCAATTTTGCATGGTCCCGCAATGCACGTTGACCACATAGGGATGCGTACAATCTCTATGGGAAGGGTTTTAGCACACAACATCGGGTACACGATCACCCTACTATAGTGTATATGGTGGTGTGACCAAAGTTCGCGCATGACCTAAGTTCACTATCTCAAAAAAAAGTAAGATTTCAAAAATCTGATATCATCAAATTACCTAAAGATGAAATTTTCTTTGGAATTGGGTACGAAATTGTGAAGATATAGACAAAAGATCGGCAAATCTTTTGCGTCCGTTCCGAAAAATTATCGACTTACCGATAAGGGTCAGAAAATCTTCAATTTGAGAGCAGATATCCTCAAAATTGTAAGTAGAAAGTGGTACCAACTGATAGTATGATTTATATACCTCACTTAAGAAATCCAGCCATCTGATTGGTCGAATTGCATTCATAAACTTCAACTGTTCCTGTAAAATTCCCGGTAACCATGCATAAAACATTTCAATATTTTTAATAACCATGGTTATTAAAAAAATAGGTCAGTCTCCATGGTTACCCCATAGGTTTACATGTTAAAAAATGGTTTGAGCGATGGAGGATACCATACGTGTGCGAAAAATTGGTCGGCAATTTCAATACAATTGAATCTCGATCGATCTTACCGACAATTTTATCTTGCATTGTTGACATGAAGACGAAAATTAACTCTCAAAAACAAAAAAACAACATCTGCCGATAGATCTTGATCTAAGTTCGTGCCAATATGCATTGCAAAAGTAAAAGAAGAGTCCGTATATGGAGCTTTTGCGAAGCATTCATCACACGCGAAGCCGGTTTTAATCCATTTTAATGTATATATTGTACAAAACTGCCATGCATGTTAATAACGCGCGATGGCCGAGAGGTCTGAGGCGCTGACTTTAGATACATCACCTTTTGTACGCAAGAGTTCGAATCTCATCTTCGACCAAAAAAAAAAGTATTTTTTATTTTTTATTTTTTAGTCTATTTTTTTTCGGCATATAAAAGTATTAATGACTGCTTTAATATTCGAGAAATAGTTGTTTTCATACGCTCTCGGGAAGGTTACAATTGGGCTATTCCCCTCGGCAAGCCTCGGGGAATAGCACAATTCTAACCTTCCCTTGAGCGTAATAAAACAACTATTTCTCTCAAAGCAGTCATTAATACTATAATATTGCCTTGCAAATTATGATATTACCTTATTTTTGATGGATCACATTTTTTGATAAATAAACTGTAAGCCCCCGTGCGTGAAGTTAGGTCTCGTTGTTTCTATGACTTTTTTAGATGCAGCGCGCACGTACGATCGAACATCAAATTTTTAGATCGCGATATCTCCGAAATCCTTCGACGATAAATTTTGTAGTTCAATCAATCTGTAGTAAAAACTTTGCCGTCCATTTGGTAATAATTTAAATAAATAAATTTGTGTAGAATATGAGAAATCATAGATCAAATATCACATTTTGTAATATGTTTTAAAATGTCGGCGAACTT